AGAGAACATAACACCTTCAAAAACAAACATTCTAATATGGAGATCGATCGCTAAAATAAAGTCACTGTTAAAATATCTTAAAATAGATGTAAGTGGTTATCAACATTTCTCAGGCAAACCGTTAAAAGTGCATAACATTGGCTAAACTTATTTCTCTGAATATCATAGTGAAAAAAGTTTCAGGTTTAGAAAATATCTCTATCCCTAATGATCTACAGTATTCTCTAGAAAATAAATGCATTGACAAGCGCAATTCATGTAAAAAAATTTGCCGTCTCGTTATACGAATTTCGGTTTAGTTTTTCATTCAGACATTGATTCGTTCTAATCTTTGTATCAGAATAACTACGTGATTAGATCATGTTAATCTGACAAATATGTCTATATAAAATGCCTCACTAATTTAGTTTCTTTATTGAAAATAGAATACATTTTCTGTTCAGACTGTAGAGTTAGAAGTTTGGTAAAAATATGAGTTGCAGTGTTCTGTTCACAAAGTTGTTGTAAATACTGTACATATATGTGAATTGTCTGAATGAGTTTAAAAATCTCTTTTTTTTAGATTTCACGTCGGAAAATGGTTTTGCTGTTGAACATAAAAATACTCAGTATCCCTTTTTTAAAATAAATATGAGTGACCTAATACCTATTAACAAACATATAGATATAACTAATTTGTGAGCACTAGTCGTATAAAAGTGACCATGTTTAGCCAAATAACTACATCGATTAGCACTGTGCATTACACGGAAAACCATCTTTATGAAAATAAAAAAGAACAAATCTTTCTATCCTTGTAACTTTATTTCCAGTAACAAGATTGTATATTCTTTAAAAAATTGTAAATATAACAAGCACATTTCTTGGATATTTTAGTTACAATAATATTAAATTTCAACTGTTCTTCGAACTCTTGGTTTTTTATGTTGTAGAGTAAACAGCGGTTATTTTCAAACAGCATAATCTAATTTTGTTAATACTGATCAACGATTCTACTAGTCTCTTCACCGCACTATGAGTAATGTAAAACTCCCTCACACTTAGTTCTTAGGACCATGTCTCTTGTGTAATCATACACTAAAGGATGTGAAAGGTACGTCAAAAGGGACGCTTAATATTAATTGTGCAGATTGTTTGAAACAGAAATACACGTTGAGCATAATTCACGCAAGTTAAGGCATACCGAGGGATGTTTTGATTATCTGTTAAGGTCCTCCCTATAACATGACTTTACTGATGTACAAATTGTTTTGTTTGCCCACACAAGTTACTTTTGCGTAACGGCATTCTAGCCGACCGATAACGGAGCAAGATTTCGCAGTCCGAATCGACAATGTAAGAGCTGAGTAGGCTTTTCCCAAATATTATTTGTGCCATGTAAGTGAGTTTCCTAAACGGTCCCTCAAATTACAGATTAAACCCATTTCCAACACAGAAAAACCTGTCATTCACGTCAAGCCCATACAACTGTCGTAATTTCATCACTTTTATTAATAAACTCAATATAACCATCTACTAACATCCGATTGGCTAAGATCACTTCAAGGTCGAAGTTGTGTGTCGTAGTCCAGACTATTTAATTACAACAATACCTTTTCATTCGACGAGGAACAACCTAATATTTCATGTGATATAGTGTTACTGATTATGTTTATTTACTCCCGATATGATCAGTCACAACTTCGCATCAAGATTCCAAGAGTCGCTCTTGAAATCATTCATTTCTGAAAGAAATAATAATTGAGTAATCATACAGTACTATATTGTCATTAGCCCAGCTTTCAGGATTGTATAGTGAGTTCTATTTTTGTTCATGAAATCTCTATAGCAACTATCATTTATCTACACTAGACAGAACAAAGATCCAGGCAGAATTTTAGTGAACAAGAAGCCCAGGAAAGGTGTCTGTAAAATCATTTTTACTATGTAAATCATACCATGTTATTATATAGGATAGTACAAGAAACACTTATATTTCTTTTGTATTACAGAAGCTAAGTGTTATGACTTAAATATAGAAATTCTACTAGAAGATAAATACTTGCAAGTTTACTCGCCCGATATTAAACAACTTGAATTTATGATGAAATAGTCTTATAATGTGAAATGATACTTTCACAACGATGTGGGATTTTAATATTCACAAATTCCCTCGAAATTTGATCACAATGAACATGTAGAACTGTTATTTACTAAGACATCTTATCAATACTAAAAAATTACAGCGTTTGTAATCTTGAAGATTTCTCTGAATATATACTTTTTCTTTTAAGCTAATAAACAGCATTGAGACACATGAGCTGATTGTAGTAGAAACTCCTTTTTAGTACTATTTAAATCTAAGAGTAAAGTTTTAACTCCTCGATATTTAACTCAGAAATATATACAATTTAGAAAATAACCAGAAAAAACTCTAAGACATGTTTATTTTAACTGATAACTTGGACGAATAGTAAAGTCTCCAACCGTAGATTAAGATGTTTATCTAAAGGCCCGTATCTTCCGACATATAGAATCAGTCCAAATGTCAAATAACTTTATGAATTGATACTATGACTTCCACAGATCACCTCTTAATAATTTTTCTTTCTTCCAACCGACTTCTCTATATCTGTTAGCACTGTACGTCGAAGTATCAACCCTGACTCATATCTACACATACTAAAGCCATAAAACATGATTGTCAATATTCCTTCACTAAATTATCAATACCAAATCAGTGTACATTTTAATAGCGCCAATAAAAAAAGACTATTTTCTTAAGTTGTGTAACATTGGATATAATTGGGTATGACAAGTATTGTATGATCATCAACAAAGAATTAGAATATTGTGATTAATTTAAACAACAATTAAGATGAACAATGAAAATTAAGAAAAAAGATAAACACACATAAAAAACCAGTAACAAACACACATCGACAAAAATAAAATGGGATATTTCTGTTAGGAAGTTTCTAGCTTCTATAAACAAAATTCAATGTACAGCTAACGCCATTGGGTCGATTTAAAACAAGTAAACTGTATTGTTTGTTTGTTTGTTTTAAAGAAAAATTATCCACCATTTAAAAATCTTTAATAAAATATATTAGATATTGTAATAACATGAAGTTAATCATTTAAATTTACAAAGAATAATGGACAAGTCAATTCTATATAACTGAGTATGCTGTTTTCATAGAAAATATATACACAACCATAAGAGTGTCTATTTCATTTATTCAAAATCTGGAAAGGAATTAAAATAATTTATTATCATATATATATATATATATATATATATATATATATATAAACATTTGGTAGAAATAAACTGTGTTAATTAAATGCTTTCTACATACAGGTTGGAGGATATCTGAAGGGGGCCAGACCAAAACATGACACAAATCCATGAAGTCACTGACATGTGGACTGAACCATTTTGGTAGGTGTAGACTAGCTGGTTGGGATTTGCAACCGATGGTTAGAGACTTTGCAATGGCGTAGGTGCAACCACTCTGTGTTCTCCCAAATTCTAATCTTCTGAATTTTTTTATGTCCCTTCTTTTTTTCTCTTTCCAAATTTATCGTACTGCATTATACTCCTTGAAGAACATCTTCAAACGTAAATCGTTCCGATGACTGCTTAAACTTTTACTACCTCTACTACTATGGGATTTGAATCGACAATTGTATCTCTGTGCTAATGTGGTATGGCAACTCGAACTGATGTATGTACATACGAAGTTCTACGTTGTTACTGACAGACTAACCTACCTCATTTAAAAGATTGAAAAGTGATGCTCATCTTACTAAAGACAGAACTCAGTTGTCTAAGCTACACATACTCATAATGTAGTGAACGAGAACATAAGTGAGGACAACCAAATGCATTTGAAAACAAAATTACAGAACATCTTACTAAAATCTGAGAATCATACAGTAAATACTTCATTTGTAAAATATCAATTAATTGTCTCAAACTTGACTGTTTCTTTTGCAAATATTAATCAATCGTCTGAGACTTTATTGTTCCTGCATTTTCCTACCAATTACTTTCTGTTCACGTTCTTTCCTTCTCGACCTTCTGCTGCCAGACATTCTAATCGTGACTATCGTTATATACTACTCATCATGTCGACATAAGTAGCACATACCACAATGGCAGTACATGATGGTTAATGATACTACCACTACACAACTGTTTAGATTGAAATAGATATGTAAAAGAACTTGAATCTGCAATTTAACCGTCTAAAATTGAATGCTTTTTAACTGTTAAGCCATTATTTTAAAACAGAATGAGAAATAAATTCATATTCCGGTTGATTGAACTACTAGTACTATAACTACAAAATCAGTGTACAGCAAACTATCAGTCAATGTGTAATAATATGATGAGAATACTTAAGAATTTACTACTATTCCCATGATTAACCTTTAAAAATGACCAACATAATTTACATTGCACAAGCTACAACAAGTTGAATAATCAATTCAAAAGATCAACGATAGTAGAAAAGTGATTATCCGAGATGTATTCTCATGTCTCTAGTTGTGACATTTAGTGGAATCTGAACAGATGTAACTATCCTGACTGGTGTCACAACTAGTAATGAGAACTAAATTTACAGTTTTCAACTCACTACTTTCAACTGAATATCATCAAAGAGACAGTATAAATCCACAATTTATCACGATATTCTAATATCATTTCATGTTTAAATTATCTACATTAATCTGAGTAGTTAATACTTAGTGTACAATCAGTCTTCAACGAATGCGACGTGAATCTTGAAATATAACATTTTTCTTAAAATACACAACAATTGCTCTGAGCTTGATTGGTTTAATCTTCAAAAAAAAACCCACAAAATTGTAAGCATGCCTAGTGAGTGTGAATCTTTACAGACACAGAAGAAAGAAATGTACGAAGTACGGGAATGGAGAAAGAGAGAGAAATTTAATCAACTTACAAAAAAAAGATACTTTTTGCATTGGGATAAAATAACTCGACAGGACATTAATGTGCTTTTCTTTTCAATCAATTCCTTTTTCGTGATCGACTAGTAGTTACTTTAGGGTTGATCGTCATTGGTAGATTACTATTACGATTATTACCGAGCTTACCAATCGAAGAAGTTGGGTTATTATCTTTTGATTGTTTACCTGCAGTATTACCAACGTCAGCTTTCATATTTTTAAGTCTATAATCATTACAAACGTCATTGCCATTATCGTCGTTGTCTTCGTTCTCTTGATCGAATAAATATAATCGACGAAATTGACGTTTATTATTTTTTGAATTGGATATTGGTGCATCGATTGGAGGTTGATTTTCATCACATCTAGAAAAATAAATAAACAAATTGTAACTATACATGAAATACCATGACCAATTATTTTTCCAAAAGTAATCATCGATTATTATAGGTGATGATGTGAGCACATACAAGTCACGCAGCATAACCATGATTACTGTGTTGAAGGAGTTGGGCATGACACTAGGAAAACAGTATTTGTATGTGATATGTAAAAATCTGCAACAGAAAATTCTCAGTATCTGAGCTGATGCTAATATTCACTCAATAAAATCCATTTACACAGGTCTAATTTGTCCGTAAATAAGCGACCCGGGTATCCTCAAGTACTTGGTTAGCATCACAATTCTTGACCTGGACGAGATTCAGTTGATGACCGCACCTAAGTTGCAATTAGTTTCAGCATAGAGATGACAGATTGATATTACTTTCTTTGTCTGTCGCTTTCTTATTCAGTAACGAGTTTTAGCCCGATAGCATAAAAATATTTTGATAGACGAAACAATCCATTCTTTTCGCTTCCATTCGAGTGTCTGATGTGAAAAGATCCCTCAATACGTGCATGTGTGAGAGCCAGAATTACGAAAGACTTAGAGATTCTTCTATGAAATTGAACCTAAACGAACTAAATAGACGATTTTTAGGACAGATTTAATATTCCGAAAGGGTGTCAAAATTATGACAGAACAGCCCTGTTCATTGTGGAATTAAATATTGAACCCTCAGATGCATTAAAATAGAAAACTAAAAGCGAGAAAAACTAATCAGACATCAATAACGGTTAATGCATAAATGTGAAACTGGAAGTTATTGATGACATATTTGAATAACAGAACTGCTATTTAATTAAAAAAGTGGATAACTTGAAGTCTTCTCAGTGATATGAAACATTATTTTAACTAACCAACTGAAGAACATAACCACGAAACTATTTAACTGAAATCGTGTAGACAAGTATCCTAAACACAGAAGACAGTACAGAGATATCAAGGAAACTATATTCGTAATAACTGGTCACTAAAAGCAGATTCATGTGTTATTCATAGTTTTTAGGTTGGTTAAATCTATTATGCACTAATGATTTGAAATGAATATTCATACCGTTTACATTGACTACTTACATCTACCGACTCGGTTTAAGAGCCGGATGTCTGCATTAAACTTTATACGTGAAATATTGGAGCACTATAACTCTATGGTTAAAGCTATAAACTTTTAACGAGTTGTGGATGTAAATTGCCGCGCTTCATAGAATTTGGTTTTCAAACTCTTTTTACAACTAAAGTGTATGTAGATAAATCTTTACTACGTAAATGATGATTTTGAGTAGATACAAATTTATATTCCTTCTTATTACTATGAGTATTGTCATTACAAACTGCTTTAATAGTCTTCTAATCTAACTCTCAATTAACCTTACATTTTTTTACTATCTGTTAAAATCAAAAACAAGCTTACATTGGAGTCAAGACAACTGAAAGACGACGGTGTTCATCTATAATATTATTATTCTTTACAACAGAATAGAGTTTATCATCTTCTTGTTGTTGTAATTCACCAAGAACAGAACGTTTCCTTGTCGTCATCGCCATCTTGGCAGTGGTATCTTTCTGACCTTCAGTGTTTGAGTTCACTTGTTGTTGTCGTTGTTCTTTATGCTTAATGCGTAAATCATTTAAAGTAGGCGGAAGAACAGATAGATCAGCAGTTCGATTCATTGATAAATCGAAAATATTCTACAATTAAATTGTAATTTGAGATGAAAAGATTAAAGGTTGGAAAGAAATATAAGTGTGAAAAACATGTTATTATAATAATAATAAACACAAATATTCGACACAATTTAAATTAAAACATACAAAAGTGGATTTTTTTATTGAAACCATGAGCCAATTACCATTAGACCACGACCGCAAACCTGAGAGCGCTAAACGGCCGTTTCGTACTAGTGAGGGACTCTTCAACAGTGCGCACCTACAATCTCCTAGACAGGACTCGAACCCGATAACTTCGGTCTCACACGATCGCTTAACTTCGAGGCCACTAAGCTTGCATCTAATAGTGTTCGACTTTAGTTAATCAGGTCAACTAAGCTACATAATACTTAGAATCTAATCTAAAATTGATTTACTGCAAGAATGATCGTTACATGTCAATATGAACTTGTCTAATCAAGCCCAACTTAAGAACAACCAAGTCCAGATATTATCCCTGAAAAGTTAGTGGATATTAAATTTCCAACCCAATTAGTTATAACTTGTGGCTTGAGTGCCCTATTAATGTATAACGAAACGATATCGCCAATTAGAAAGCAGTGAATTATCGATCGGACCAAGGACGCGTAAAACCCGTACAAGCAGTCTAGAGTCCTGATTAGTCCTGCTTCCGGGCTAGCACAGCCAGTTAAGTCCACAACACAAATATTAGCCTCTGCGATATGAATCGTTTATTCCAAGCATACTGAGTTCATATACCAACCAGACAGACCACATCGTACTATAAAATAGGAAACGACATTTATACAAGATTTGGCCAACTGTGGCTGTGAATGTGGGAGGTAGTAATCAATAGACAGGGCATGATTCAAGAACGATAGATAGTATAAAAATAGTTCATAGGTTAAAATAAAGCTCATAATAAGAGGGGCATGAATATGAACACTAGTTATTTAACAATTAAACGATAAAAATATACGTATAGTATTGGTCCACAAATGGATCTCCAAAGTTACCATTCATTATGCTTATCTGGACATAACAGTTTATACATGAAACTCAGCGATAATGTGAAAGTACCCGGTGGTCCAAACATAGTGGTACAGTTGGAGTGAGGTTTAGAATTTTTATGACTGAGTGTGTAAAATAAAAATTGGCTTGAAACTAAGAGCCGGAAATCCCATTACAAATACACACAAATGTGATACTAATTTTCAGAGAATTTACTTCAACGGCCACTGTAGTAACTAGATATTATAATTCAGGCATATGGCTAGTTGTATGACTTATCGCTTGGTTTTTATCAACTTGCGTCACCTGTGACGTGAGATCTCTGTGTAGCAATTGAAGGACGAATATACTGTGAAAGTTTGTTTAATTCTACTTAGTGGCTGTGAAAAGTGGGCTTTAAAAATAGAGGATACTTGTAGATTACTAGTATGTGATCATTGATTCCTTCAGAACATTGTTCACGTCCAATGGGATCACCTAACCAATAATACTGAAATTAAAACACAGCACCTTGTTAAGATGGTAAATTGGTTGGTGAATTAGTGAGACTTTCATGGAGTAATACTTTCGGAATATGAAACATATGACCAGGCACCATCTAATTCAACGCGCGACTTTTGTTTATATAATAGTTCGAGAGAAAGCTAGGGGAAAACCCAACCAAAACCTAGTATCAATTCATAAAGTCATTGACAAATGGACATAGCTGTATAAGTAAATGTTTACTTCCTGGTTGGAGTTAGATAATATGATTTAAAATCGGCCTCAATTACACAGATACATTCACTATTTGTTTTTTCTTGAATCACATTATCTATGACTAATCTTTTCTATTACTACTTCTACAGCCCAGATATATATCTTCATAATTCCATTTCACTGTGTTGATATATTGTGACAACCTGAATCGATACAAATATGTTTCGGTGTCCAACTTTTTAATGAAAAAAATAGAAAAATGTTAATCCTATAAGAAACATGATTTAATCAAACAAGAGCTTTGTACACGTTGACTTATAATCAAACTTATTCTGTAAGGGTCAGTTTTATATTAAATACCAAGAAGAGAAAGAACTTACCACTGTTTTAATTTCCGTTCCAACTACTTTCGACAATTTCTTAAATTCATTACTATTCACATCTTTGTTAGTCTTATTATTATTGGTACGATCAATACAAGCAGTAGTAGTAGTATGAGGTTTTGATTTCGATCTTGACTGTTGATTGATTGTCGTTGTTGATAATTTCGACTTGGATCGAGTTGTCTGCTTGTCACTGACACCAATCGTTGATGATGGATTGACATTTTTTGAATCAACTCTAAATACAAGTTCACCAGGCCGACGGAAACAGGTTTCAATGACTCGGTCACTTCCATCCTCATCGCCACCAACAACACCAATATTATTTTTTAATTTATCACATTTAATGTTGATATCATTTTCATCTTCATCATCACTATCTCTGACACGAATCAGGCGATGCTTACCTGATTTTTTCTTCTTTTCTTTTGTTGTTGTTTTAACAATAAACGATTCCATAAAAGATGACGTGTCAATGATTGGTTTTGAATTTAGACGAGCTTGACGCACCAGATGAGGTCGAGCTGATTGTATTTCATGATGATCAACAGGGTTAACTACACATTCATTGTTCTTACTACTGCAACTATTGACAAGTTTAGGAACGGCGAGTTGATCAATATTCTTTGAATCAATGACGGAAGGTTTATTATTTACAGAAATACACGATTGTGGTAAACTTTGAACTGAAAAATGTATAGGACTAATGTTTTTGTAGGTATCATCAATATCATTATCATTGTCTAAATCAACATTATTTACATTAGTATCTACTATTGGAGGACATCTTTTGCTTGCAATATTATTTTCAGAAATACAAGTTATTGGACTAGTCAGTATTTCAGGTAAAACTTCTTCACAAGATGGTTCTACTACCACTGTTGTTGTTGCTGCAATGAAATGATTTTTTTAATAAAAAGAAACAGCGATAAAGAAGTCATTAAGAATTTAAGATCACTAGAAAATGCAATCATAAAGAGCATAGAAACAAAACCTGCGTAAAATGAGACCACTGCAAGTAAATTGTTGATCATCAACATGTAATGATAAACACAGAAAGAGAGAGACACAGTTCTGCCTTCTTTGTGTCTGATATTTGTTTCTTTTCCACGTTCCTTATTGCCTCTCTCCTCTCTTTTCTTAACCTTGTTGTCGTCCACTTCTGTTGTTGTGGCCAGGTCTTATTATGCATTGGAAGTCGTGGTTGTCTGCCATACATGAGCAAGAAAGGTGACTTCTTGGTTGTTCCTTGTGTGGAGGAACGATGTGCCAGCAAAATCAATGGTAACTCTTTCTCCCAATTTCCTCCTTTTGATGCTAACCATTCCTTTAACGTCCGATTGTTTCTCTCTGTAAGCCCGTTTGTCTGAGGATGATACGGTGTAGTTCGTATTCTCTTGATGCCAAACTGCTTTAAACGGGCTTTAAACTCGTCACTTTCAAAACAGGGACCCTGGTCAGTTAATATCATCTTCGGTATTCCGTGACACGCTACAATATGCCGGATTACCACCTCGGTCACTGTCCTTGCCCGCTGGTCTGCAATGGGTACGGCATCTACCCAACGTGTAGCATGTTCCGTCATCACTAACAGGTACTGGTTACCGCTCGCCGTCTGTGGAAACGGTCCCATCACATCCACCGACCATAGATCACCGACTGCGGTTACTGGGATTGACTGTAATGGCGGTTGTGTGTATCGATCGCTTTTCATTAGCTGACACTGCTGGCAGGTTAACACGTATTCAGCCACATCGTCTCTCATGCTCGGCCAGTATGCACTTTGTCGTAGTAAGTCCGTCGTTCTTGCGATGCCTGTATGTGCTACCTGGTGACACTCGTGTATCACTTTACGCCGCCAGTCTTTCGGGATCACCGCCACCCAATTCTCATCATCGTCCTGCCAGGTCAGCACTCCATATGAGTTCACTCTCAGTCGTTCCTTTTGCCGAAGCAGCGTTATTACCTCCTTGTCCATTGTTCGTTTATCTACGTCTGCTCCCTCTTTTATCACTCTGATTACCTCTCGAAGGTTAGGGTCAGCTTTCTGCTGCCGGACGAGTTCTAATGGGTCTCCCTCTAAACTATTCACCGCGTATGCTGTTAATGGCAGGTCGGCTTCCATGTCTGGTCTTGACAAGTAATCCGCCATTACGTTTTCTTTTCCTGGAACATGGCCGATACTGAAATCGTATTCTTGCAGGCGTATCATCCATCGCGCCAACTTCCCTCGGGGGTCTCTTGCTGTTTTCAACCACTGCAGGGGTTTATGGTCGGTCTCAATGTGAAATCGTCTACCTAAAAGGTATGGTCTCCATTTTTCCACTGCCCACACGATCGCTAAACACTCCTTTTCGATGGTTGAATACTTCTGTTCAGCAGGTGTGAGGACGCGACTCGCGTATTCCACCACTCTATCAGCCTGACTCAACACAGCACCTATACCATGATCACTCGCGTCTGTGGCCACTGTAAACAGTCTTCCCGGTTCAGGCAGTCTGAGCGTCATCTGGCGATCGTCTAGCATGTTTTTGATTCGGTTGAACGTTTGTTCGGCAGTCTCAGTCCACGTAAACTTGGTGCTGCTCAATAACTTATATAAGGGTGCTGCTATTTCGTTGAAATTCTTGATAAACCGACTGTAGAACGCCGCTCTTCCCAGGAACTGTCTCAACTTCCTTTTCGAATTAGGTACTGCAATATTTTTTATGGTAAGAATTTTCTCCGGCAATGGTTTTATTTCTCCATTTCCCACTTTATGTCCCAACAATGTGACGCTACTTCTCGCTATCTGCGACTTGTCCTTATTAATCCGAAGTCCAAATTCGTCAATTCGCTTTAAGACCGCTTCCACATGCTTGATGTGATCTGTTTCTGTTTGACTGTACACAACTACATCGTCGCCATATACCTCGACATTATCTAGATTCTTGAGCAGTAGTGTCATTAATCTTCTGAACGTGAACGGTGCACCCGCCAACCCGAACGGCATTCGTTTAAATTGATACTGTTTATCACGTACAGTAAACGCTGTCTTGCTTCGATCACTCTGTTTTATAGGCAGTTGCCAATAACCTGACCGTAAATCCAGCACTGTAAACACCGTGGCATTCTGTAGCCGATCTAATGTTTCCACCACTGTTGGCATTGCACAAGGCTTCAGGTCTGTTATATTATTCAATTCTCTGAAGTCGACACAAAATCTATACTTTCCATTTGGTTTCTTTACCAAGAGTACCGGCGAGCTATATGGACTGTCCGCTTCCTCAATTATACCTTCTTTTAACATTTCCTGGACCTGACGATTTACCTCGGCCTCTAAATGCACCGGGACACGACGTGTTGCAAATATATTTACTCGACTGTTCTTTATCGGTATTTCGTGCTTTACTCTGTCACAAAATCCATACGGCTCCCCATCTCCAGTGAATAGTTTGGCATACTTTTTGCATAACTCGTGAATGTTTGGTTTCTTTGACGAGACATCCGCTGCAACTCTTATTTCAGCAACTTCGCTACTTTCGTGTATTGTCAATGAACCATATTTCGTGACCACCTTACCGCTTCTTAAGTCAACTATCGCTTTTACTTCTCTTAGGAAATCTGCTCCTAATATCGGTCTCGATAAACTTGTGGTTACGACGAACGGAAAATTTATCTCAGCATCCCCCACTTTTACGATACTGTTAGATACGCCAAACACCTCTAACATATGGCCCCCTATCGTGTGGACAGCTAATGTACACGGCTTGATTCTCTTACATTGCTCTTTGCCTATTAACGATACTGCTGCACCTGTATCGATCAGACAAACTAAATCTCGCTCATTTATGTTCACTCTCGTATATACTGCCCCTCTGTCTACTAACGCAACAATCCCCAGATTCCTAGGATAGAAAGAACACTCGTTGTAACGTCTAACATATCTGCGTCTTCGTCTTGTTGGACAGTTTATCTTCCAATGTCCTGTCCCTCCACAAGCGTAACATTTATCGTTCCTTTTATTGTTCACTCGTATTGCTGCAATCTCACGCTCCAGCTCCTCAATCTTCTTCTCGACATTACTCATCTCCTGCTTTTCGCACCCGACTGGAGCTACTGTTCGCGTCATCAGCTGACGAGTCACCTTCGCCAGTTCACTGATATCCATCGGTTGCGCTGCGTTCACCAGTTTCAGCTGTTGGGAGACGGTGGCAGGCACACTCTCGATAAACTGTGACGCCAACAACTGTGCCTCCGACTCCTCATCCAGACTCGGCAGTGCACGGCGTAACAATCTGGTAAGCTCCACAGCCAGCACCAGTGGGTCACCATCGACCGGCAACCTCGCCAACCGGAACTTCTGCAGCGCGTTCTCTCTGTCCACTGGGCTGTCAAACTCCGCCGCCAACCGCTCCGTGACTGCCTCCCATGTCGTCTTCCCGCCAGCACCGTCCAAGCTGTCATACACAGCCTTCGCCCTGCCTCTCAGCAGCGTCCCCAGCACCACCAACTTCGCCTTCGGCTCCTTCACTCCCACCAGCTCCGCCACGGCCTCAAACTCCTTCAGGAAGCTCAGCACATCTCCGTCCTCAAACTCCTTCGGCCACGGAATCTTCATCCTTAGTGGAGGCAGCGACACCAAATGTAGTGAAGAAGAACACGGTTGAGGACAACCAAATTGTATTTAGGACAAATTACAGAATTACTTGGTAAAATAGAAAAACCATATAGTAAATCGTTAATTTGCAAAATATTATTCTATCATATCAAACCGGACTGTTGCTTTTGCAAACCTCAATCCATTGTCTCGCATTTCATTGTTCATGCGATTTCTTACAAATTCCATTGTTTTCTCGCTCTTCTTTTCTTGATCTTCTCCATCTTCTGCTGCCAGACGTTACGTTCTTTTGACTCATGTTATATACTACTTATATCAATATAAGTAGCACGCACCACACTACTACTACTACTATAAGCAATATATCTTTTTTCGTTATCCTGTTAACTGTCTTTCTTGTTATGCAAATAGTGAACAAATATATCAGGTTCTACATTACTATTTATGAATGAAATTAGGACAGTCTCTTTGCAGTTAACAAACTTTTAAAGGGTAAGACGTTATCAACTGGCATATAACAATCTTCGACGATTAGATGAGATAAAATGGAGAAAAAACTAGTCATATTAATCCTATAGCATCCGATTGATATTTTAATTAGATTACAGGTATATCATGAAGAACATAGCCAAATATTTCCCAGTTCAAACATTCTAGTTCTAACAAACATGTTAATAGTTTATATAGAAAACTAAAAATTTCACCAGTTATGTAATACTTAAAAATAATGCCATTCAGTTATTCATAAAAGAAATTGATGAAGGAAAGAGTGGATTTCTATATAATAATAATCAATTTACTGTCATTAAGACATCCTACAACGGAGGGATGTACTTCGCATATAAATTATAAAACCAAGTTTAAACTACATGGAATATTTTCATTATTAAAAGAATAAACCTTGTTAATAAGAAATAATATTAAATTTGAATGGTAAGAAAAGCCAATAACTTACGTCGTTCCTGACGGATAGACTGTGATGATTTTACGTCAGTATTGAATGTTTCAATAAGAGGTATCGGTTGTACCTAGAAAACAAAAACTTTTTCCAAATGAAAATGTCTCATATAGAATAGTTGATGGTGAAAAACTATATCTAAAGGTCAAACATCAACAACGTATGACTTGGTACAAATATGTCAAAACAGAAATTCGGTGATCAAATGATAATACCCTAGTTCTTTATAAGAACTAAATGCATTGCTGTAGAACTCGAAAGTAACTATATTGTAGATCAACCATACCATCCCATCCAAAGTAATGAATTTAAAACATGGCTTACAATAGATGTTACTGCTATCGTAAATTTAATAACTTTGCAAGTTGCAGATGCTTTAGGTCAGCCATTCATGAATGTTGATCCTGAGAAATAGGCTACGTCGCAATTTCAGGATTCCTAAAAAAGATTCACAGAAAACTCACATCACACTAATGATCAATCACACAACTCGTATGCTGAGAAGTTTTATAAATATTCATTCGTGACTCACTCTGTAATTACCAGTGGAAGTAGTATTGCATAACAAATTTATCTTATGTTTATTTACCTTGATTTACCCTTTAAGAGTTTTTTTATTGCTTGAAAGAGTGAATTGGTGGAGTTCAAATCTATGTTGAATATTACCGAATTTATTGAACTGTTAAATCAAATCTCAACTCAATTGTACAACGCTTGTAACAGACGGTAACTTTGCCTAAGTTAACCTAATATTAGTTATGAATAAGTATATATTGTTAGAATCACGTTCTGTGTAATCCAATTTGGGTGAACGAGTAGTATTAATGATCTTCACAAAATAGCAGAATAACTCAAAACTGAATCCACAAATTTGTACTTGATAGATGAATTACCCTTATCCATAGATTCTTAGTTATGGGGCATTAATAAAACTAACCAATAGCAATTACTTAGACGACTAGCATTCACTGATCATGACTAAGCACTTGGACACAGTTCATTTAAGTGTGAATATCATTAGTTTTATTTATTGTTATGTGTGTACATGTTTCATTATACCATATTCTACTTGACTAAATATTCCTATTTGCTCTAATTGTATTGTTTCTAAAGACCAACTTTCAAATGTTTTACGTACAACAGTTTTAGTTTAGAATGTGCTATAAAAAATATATATGTAGGCAAAGTACAGTCCACGTACATGTTACGTATAGGTGTTAGTGATGCGACACCATTCACATATTCAAACTACGAGTACACTAAATCAGTAACAGTATGATGAACTGATGAAGCAGTCACGTTTATAATAATAATTACTAGCTTGACACGAAATTCGAAACACGATGACCGATAGTTTATTGAAAACTGAATAAAACCTATCAGTATTTAATTATTAAGACGTCGAAAATTGATAGAATCGGAAGACTAAATAATAGGGATCATGATTTATGAAAATGGCTCAAAGGATCTTGAAGTTTAAAGATGGAAGAAATAACTGTGGAAGCACTTTCTCACTCTTTTCCTTCCTAACTAGACCCAAAATCTAACTCCTAAGCTCTTTGGGAATCTTAAGTAATAAATTACCTATTTATATCACCTACATTCCATTCTCAAGATCGTCTCGAGGGTCAATGAAGGTCCTCAGTAAAGTGTATTTATACCACTGAAACTAAAGAATTTTAAAACCTGATTTATTATCGAAAAAAAATTCCAGTCTAGTCAAAAGAATAGGGACGTAAACTGCTGGACAAGCTCACATCTTCAATATTATTGACTGTCTTTTCAATTTGTTACTTCATGTAAAAAGTAAACTTGCATTACTAGTCATTTTTTTCTTTTTAACTGATAACTTACATTAAATCTGTTATTGTTAATATGATTAGTGCTAATATTCTTAGCAATACTGTGATCGTTAGGACTGAATGCCATTTTCACCGGACCTGTTATTAATGAAGTGGATGATGATGGAGATTGAACTTCAGGATAAACAATAGATAGTTGACGAACATTCTGTTCTGTTATCTGTTGAACAGGCTTTGTAAATTCTTTTCTAACAGTAACAATAATAATAATGTTGATAATATTATTAATAATAATCACAACGAATAAATGCAACTAATCTTCAAATTTCTCGTTTAATTTAACTCAATGTAACTCATTTACAAAGTACATGTGTGTTTAATTTCTTAGTTTTATGAAGGACAATGGTATTACTACTGTAGTTACCGAAAACTCAGGTACGGTAAACCAACTTATTGTTTTATGCAAAACCACACAGTCCCTTCCTAAAATATGAAAATCATACATTGAATACCTCATTTGCAAATCTTTGCATCGCCCTTTACATACTCCATTATTCTTTCAATTCTGTTGTTATTCTGACTGCTCTCCGTCTTCCTTCCTGTTCTATTCATTTCAATTTCATGCTGGTAAGCATTCCACTTCCTAATCCTGCTACATACTACTTATATCTGTCCACATAAGAGGTGGACATCATATTGCCACCTACCTACGCAAATAGAAGTAGATGAAACAGATTTCGAGGCTACGATTACTACTACTCGTTAAAAGTTGAGTGCTTTAACCACTACTCACTACTAAGCTACCGTCCCAATGCCAATAAAATTAACTGAAAAAAAAAGACTAGCAAACAATGTCATATGGAGAAAAATATCGGACAGAATTCCATCATAAGATGGATAGACAATAGATATTCTGCAATCTATTTGATGTCAATCTAAAATTATTTATAGTAATCTACAACATTATTATAGAATGAAATAGATGAATTCAAGTTGAAATTAGTTTATTTAATACACTAATTCTGGTACAATTTGGCACTGAAGACATGAGGTATACAAATAAACAATAAGATTGAATAAAAATAAAGTAGGGGATGAGAGCATAGGCAAAAACAAAATAAGTAAACAAAAATAATTTAAGATAGGAGTTACAATTTAGTTAAAAATACAACTAACAAGGACTTCTTTTAGTTAGGACACATACTTTAACTTTCATGAAAACTGCAGCAGGGTAGCCCCTGGATTTTATTCTGACCCATGTTTGAACACGCCTCAAGATTACACCACCTTCGGGATTTCAACCGGGATGTCGTGTTGAACGGACAGATTCCAGTCATATAAAGTTCCTTTTCTTTCATAATGCAGTGCCATGGCATAAACCGACTATTTCCACACTTTTTATACTCCTCCCCAGAGTCGGCAAATAATCCGCGATGTAGAAGCTTCTGGGAATACATTCGTAAAACGCGTCCCAGCTACCAAACCTAGTGTTTGAATATGGCGACACCAAGTGAGGTATTGTCATTGTACCTGAACCCACATTATTGAATCTCTGCATTACCAAAATGGTGTTAACACTGCGATCCTTTGGAGACAATGATGACCGAATACATAGTTTTTGACATCCTCACTTCAGAGAGGTAAGGATTCACAAGCATAGAGCAAAATCCTCACCGACAGGTTGTACGCTCGACCTTTAACAGCCACGGGATTATCATAACATAGCTAAAACTAATCAATCAGTCTCGTGAAATGTGCCATTATTCGGATCAACACAACAATGGAAGAAAATAACAAGTTGAGACAATAATAAACGGTAGCAATAAAGGGAACAGATCAAGATAATATAAACCTAAGAAGAATGAATGGGATCAAGAGATATGAGAAAAATATATGACAAAATTTGGAACTCCAGATTCAAGAGATACAAGAAATCATCGCAATCAACTTTAATTTGTGTTACTACCAATAAAGAAGCTTCACTGTAGAGAGCAGATTAAAGTGAATATATGTTGTTTTAATTATGAAGAGTAAGACTAATCATTATCAAGGTGTCAGTCGAAACCTATCGAATTACTGAATTGGCATTTTAAATGTCAGAAATATATTGTTAGGTCGAATTCGTCTTTGAGTTACATCATTAATACTTATTTATTTACAACAATGTTGGAGAGTCAAGTGATCTAAACACTTAGTTAATATTGTTAATTCACGTATGCTGATAAGTTTATTACTCAGGAGAAAAAATAATAAACCATCTTAACACGAGAGTACTGTAGAAACAAATATTAACCCACACATTTTATCCAGTCTGTGAAGTCATTGACAGTAGTATCGAAACGTGTAGGTAGGTGCAGATTACCTAGCTGAGGTTCGTGAGATTATCATTACCTAGGGTTAGAGATACTGAGTAATATGGCTCAGAACTGATCACAATAACCCATATGCATTTATTCTTTGTTTACCCTTAGATAATGAGTTCCAGAATTATTTTATACCTACTATTTTGTGAATTCATTCCTTCCTCTCGAATTATCTCTTTTTAACCCTTTTTGCTACCGATAGTGGCGTTGCTACTCTCTTACGGTTCTGGAACCTATCCTAACAATATCATCTCTGTTTTGATATAGTGTGAAAACTTGAACCGATGGATACATGTCCCAGGTTCTAAGTCGTTCGTGACCGACTGACTGTTCAAATGTTATCTTTAATATTCACAAAAACCCTTCTAGTGATATTTCACATAACGAACATATCAGTAGAAAGCACCAAAACGTTTATGGTTCATTAACTGCCAAGCTGAAATAACCCTATATAACTTGGTTAGGTCTATTACTGCATAGTGATAAACTTCAAAATACTTCACATTAATCTAAAATAGCACATCGGAATTTAACTATATTTATCACACTTAACAAATGATATGGGTATTAATTGCTTTATACACAAAGAGCTTATAAATTCCTAATTCTATGTAGCATCATTAGTGTCGGTGAACGAATCACATGTGACTATTTGGAATTCTAAGTAAACTATTTATTAAATAAAAATTTATTTAATCGACTTTCTAGCCATACTTTTTATGGGGACCAGTAAGTTATTGTTGTCATCTATTCAAGATGAAGTACAATGGGCTGTAATCTATCACCGAATTTATTGGAAGTGAATTCCCCATAAATAACTCTAACCCTATCCTCTTATGTTTAAAAGCGCTTTTAATGCCGACTATTTCATGACGAAAATGTATTTTACAATAAACTTTGTCAGAGAATTAATAGAAACAAATAACAATGATAAACTCTTACGGAGCAAGAAATATAAACAATTACCATTTTATCTTACCTACAGACAGAATCAAATGCATTTGGATCAACTGCTGTTTCACCAAGCAGACTTGATGTAAGATTTGACAATAACTCCAAGAATCATTTTTATCCAATACCGATATTGAATCTTTCACATAATTCATCATGGACATTCCCATTTCAATTTGTGAACACAATAATTCATGTACGTTTAGAATACAAGCCTAACAATTATCATTTTATTATTTGAAAAAAAGGGGAAAATGACTACATACAGAAATAATATAAAATTATTTTATAACTTTATCTAAACTAAACAAAAATCATTTGAAACTTGACAGCTAGATGTACCTGTATCCCAGAATTGATGTTCACGTCGGGACTCGAACCCGGTACCGTTTAGCGTTAAACGCCGTGGCATTATTCACTTAGCTGCCTAGTCTAGATAGTCACTCACTTGTGCAACAGGTATGAGATTCGATTTAACTTGAAGCTAGTCGGATTATCTTATTCCAAATAAGATAAGACGTGTAGCCTGTATCCCACTGCTAGCCAAATTTTATCTATTCTATATTATCTTGTGTCATAATGGCTATGTAAAGGTAACCTGCACAGTATTCCCATATGCCAACCAAGATTGATCGAGCTTTAATGAAAAATATCAACGACAACGGGATAATCTAAACCATTTTAAACTGAAGAACAATATTTTTGAGATGAAATGACTTCATTAGTCAATCTTCAATGCTTCCCATCCACAAGAAGTTATGTAATAATAAAAAGGCAAATATTCGACATACTTTTAGTTATGTGAAGTATAGACAAATTTTTAAAACGGAACCGAAAATCATGAACAGATGAATTTGGACAAAAGTCATATGATTTAGCACGGTTAAAACGGATGTGAATTTACATGTTAGAAAAATAGTAATACAGAGCAGATGTGGTTATGTTATGGTTACTACTAGTCATAATTAAGAGAAAAAAGAAGTACGCGATCTTAATGAAAATAATAAATGATTGGACGGATTATCAACAAAATTAGAGCCAATATTAAATTAATATGCAAGTATCAACAATATTACACAAGAATAGATCAGGTTGGAAATGTTTAGTAGCTATTACTTATGTTAGAAGGGAGAGGAATCGCCGTTGGTTGCTTGAAAATGGGTTTGAATTTTCACTGACGTACGCACTATGTCCATTAACTATTAAATGCCTGACGATAAAACTTGTGAAGACCTTACTGTCATTCAGATGAACATTCCTGGATGCGCGTTCAAAAATCTTATCCCTTTGTTTCATGATTCTTAGTTCCGTTTTGGACATATAACTTAACTATACTAACTAAAGCACATCAAACCTTTATTTATAATTAGACAATTCCTCGTAATTTGATGCTATTTACAGTGAATAAGAATTCATTTTACTCGGTAAATTTCCTTCTTTTTACAATTTTTACAGTTTATTAATGGATCAATTTGTATAAGATACCTTGATTCTCTCTTTGGCTTCTTTATACGCTTGTAAACGAACTACTTCCATTCGACAATTCAATAGTTCAATATTCGCTTGCTGTGTAGCCATCTTCTGGTTATTTAATTCAACTTGCAATTCGGCTAGTTTTTCGCTAATGAAGCATTATTAGCACGAAGAGAGGTGGCTGAAGTGAAAGATTGATTGACTGTCAAAGAAAATCAAAATTAAAAGTAATTAAGAGGGAGAAAGTAAACAAAACACACAGTTAACCTCGTTGGTATCTACTTTATTAACAAAGTTGGCAGATCAGCATAATAATAATAATAATAATAATAATAATAATAATAATAATAATGTACACGATTAAGGAATTTTACACTAGGATGGGACAGTTGTTCAGAGATCACTGGTTTACAACAGTTATCTAACTAAAGTCAGTTCGCGATATAAACTGTAAAAATCAGAACTTCTCACGAACCCTTTATGCTAACAACAGCAATAATTTTCTGAATTATAATTAAGGGTACCTGACTTATCAAACGAAACTTTATATTTTCAGTTTCTAATCAAAAACTCTGTTTTTCATTCATGTCAGTGAGATGAAACTAGCCGGCTACTAAAGCTAAAGCAAATAAAACGATTTAGTGTTAATCATTAAACCATGTCTTTAAATTTTGCAAAATGTCTTATTTTGTTCTGTTTGTTTATAAATCGTTGGCGGTGCACAGCAATTGATCAGGTAGCAAAATATTGAAAACAATAGTTAAAAATCATACAGGATGAAATCTTACATTATCAACCCCTAGCTTTCTTTCAAACAACTTTTACATCAGTATATGTCGCCTGTCGAAGTAAGCGGTGGTCATTCATACGTAGAAAATGTCTTAACGACCTCAAGCGATGAGGATTCACAACCTTATCAACTAATTTTCTGCTTTGTCTTGCGCTCTATTCCTAACCTCAACGCTAATCAATCCGCTATTGAATGATACGCGAATAATTACACATGAAATAAGACTAGGGGTAGTCAAACCAAGATGTGAAGATAATGACTGTTGACTGAGTCATATAGGTGGGTAGGTGGAGACTATCTCATTGAAGTCCAAGTGGTTATTGTGACTAATATTTAGATACTTGAGGTGACTAACTCAAACTCATTCGCAATAGCATATGTGCATCTACCGTTTTCCTCTAGATCTTAAGATTCTAAATCTCATAAATTCACTTTTATTCCACTAATCTATGCATTAGCATCACTAAAATATTCGAAACGTCAATGGAAGACATGAGAACAGAGAGAGGAGCTGACATAGCTTCATATCACCACCTAGTGGTTTTCAAGATGACACGTAGGCTAAACAAGCACTGGAAAACTGGAGAAACAGCATTACAATGGTTTAGTACAGCCTTTCTTCGTGGTACTGAAAAACTCAACGCATTCAAAAATAGCTCACAGCAACAGAATTAAAGCCTTACAATCTCTACTCACAGAAGAGGAAGCTCCTATGGAGAAGAACTGGGAAAATATAGACCTTGTTTGAAATCACACTCAAACATTATCTTCAATCAACCCTAATGATCTCAAGTTAACTTGATATGTTAACCTGTTCCCATAAAATATTTTCCAAGTGCATCAACATTTCTCCAAATTTTGATTCCTAGTAAAATAAGCGATTGCTGAACTACAATTAAGTCTTAATCTTATGTTCTAACAATACATACGCGTAAAATTTATTATGGATGTCAGGATTGATATATTAGTATTGTTAGTTCACGAAAAACATTGACAGAGCTGACGCAATCGACCGACACCTACCTGATTTCTGCAGTAATCTTCTCGAGGTATTTAACAACCCCCTATTTCGCATGATTCTAACACTGTCATTGAGTTGTGATTTCTTTGATTTACGAAAGGTGATACTGATATGTGGTCTTGGACCACTCATCATAAAAATTTCAAGTTAAACAAGTAGCAAGGTTGTTGGGTCATTTAAATACCATGTGATAAGAATAAACTTAGACTCCGTTTTCAATACCAATTAATTGATATCTTCATAACCGATGTGCAAAAAATAGTCACTTTCTTGATGTTCGTACCTTTGTGCTAGAGTATGGTTTCAGTTCTTTCGTTCAGTGAAGATAGTCCGGAGGATAAAGAAAACTGATTCTAATGAACATCGAATGGTTCAAATGGCTGTGGACGGAATAGAGGAAGCTTTCGCTTGACGGGTTTCCGTGTCTAGTAGAAGTGGATCACCAATACTTTCAGGCAGAAACCTAGATATGTTAACGATAAAAGAGCAAAAGGCAGTTGGTAAGTCATAGTAAGACACTATTCTTAGTCCTTAAGAATATGACAAGTTTTCTCTTAATGAACTCCTAGGTAGCCCCTTAGACTGGCTCGGACGGCAGCGAATTTCAGCATCTGACTACTCTTGAGAGGTAGAAGTTGTGTCTACAGTCCGTTCCGCCTTATTGTGTCTCCAGTTTCTGGATGTTGAAGCTAAACATGAGTAGGTGTTTAAGGGGATGCTCAGAAGGATAAAGAATAGCTTAAGCTATTGAAAGGTCACCCCTAAGATGACTGTACCCTAATGAGTAAAGTTTTAGTGATTGCAGGTGTTCTTCATGAGGCTTGAATCTGAGTTCCCGAACTGATTTCGTGGCTTGCCATTGGATACCTTCCAGAGCGCCCTGTCCTTCAGGGGTGAGGGAAGAAATACTATGTTTCCGTACTTTAAATGAGGACGAAAGAAACTGTTGAAGATTAAATAGAAAGTTCTTCCGTTAAACTGGCCAAAAAATATGCTTCAATGTTATCATTGCAAAGTTTGCTTGAAAGGCATTTTTGTTACAGTTAGCGTAAGACTTGAGAGTTATTTGGAGGCCATAATATCCTGAGAACAACGAAAAAGAAAAGCATTGGATATCTTGATGCGTTATTTACCAGCCTTTTTAATACCGACCCAATAAGCAAGGTTCTGTAATCTGTAATTGCAGATTATCTTATTTGTTGTCTATATTTTAAGAAAATCATATTATTTCATAGACGGTAGAGAAGATTTGTAGATCAGTGGATGATTTTGGTGAAGCTTTGTTCTCTGAGCTGATTTGCTGGTTCTTGGAGCTTTCACCGTTTTTTAGCGGCTTCATCAGCACAAACTTCAAGTTGAAGTTAATCATCCGAATTTACTCGCATATATTCAGACAGATTAAGATTACAGATTTGTGTGGTAAGGACGGAAGGCCTATGGCCTATGTTATTCCTTTCCCACTATGCTTCTGTGAGTGCCTAGTCTTCTCTTAAATGAGTTAATTGAGGGTGCGGACACCAATACTTCGGGTAAAAGGTTTCACGAAATGATCACTCAGTGCGAAAACCTGTATACCACGTGTATTTTGTTCGTTCTTTACATTTCTATTCGCCTGCTACGTCCCCTGAGATATTTCGATCTAGTGGTAAGGAAGAGAAAGAATATATTAGATATCAAACCATTTACTAGTATTCTTTACTTCAAAATCAGATCACCTATTAATCTCTGGTAGGACAGAGGAAAGTGGTTTTGTTTTTGAAGCCGCAATTTGTATGGTAAACACTGAAATTTTGGCATTGCACATTTAGCTGCCCCTGTACTTTTTCCAGGATATCTGAATCACCTTTTAAACAGGGACTTGCTGCCTGCACGTAGTAATCAAGCTTAGTTGTCACTGACGTTGTGTACACTGTAGTGAACATGGAAGTATTTAACTAGGAGAATATCCGTCTTAAAGCACGGAGGGTTCTAAGCCCATTAGCTGCAACTCCCTGGCAGTGGACTGTGGTTTCAAGGTTATGACTCACTGTCATCCTTAAATCCTTGGGAGACCGATTCACGGGCACAGGCACTTCCCTGTTCTGTATCTATTTACCTTCGTATCTAAAAATGCATGTAGACACACTTGCCCGTGATGATAAACATAAGCCGCCTTTTACATTAGTTAATCAGAATATTTAAGTCTGCTGAGGTGTGCATGCATCTGCGTCTCCCGATATTTCTCGTCAGATTTTTTACACCATCAATGTATAGTAGAATTGGGGACTCAACGATGCTTGGAAGTTCATTTACATACAGTATAAAATGTAAAGAACCTAGGACAAAGCCTTTCCATATCCCAAGTGAAGCATTTGGAATTTATTATTACTTTCTGTATACGACCTAGAAGGAGATTCCTAAGCCATTCTAAGTGGGGTCTGGCAATACCTAATTTTTTTAACCTTAAGAGCAGTTTATTTGTTGGTACCGCGTGAAATGCTTCACTGAAGTCTATGTAGAAAACATCCATTTTTTTCCATTGTCTAGAGCCTCAATTAGTTGCTTCACTGCTATAAGGAAAGACATTAGAATCAGTATGTCAGTAGCCCCGCCAGATATCAAAATGTAATAGACTTAGTCTTTACCAGTGGCCTCAACCCAATACTGTGCATATCGGAAAAACGTTTCCAGGTAGCGTTCATAACCTTGTCATATGCAGCCTGAATATAAAAACCATAACCGGTAGTCGTAAAAATGTGGCAATACGTAGAATCTACCACAAGGTCGATTGGAAAAAATCAAGAAGCACTGATCAGGGAACCCTCTTTACTGTAAGCAATACCTACAAACTGACTAACATATCCTATCACAACACTAAAAATATCTTCAAAAATATTTTACCTCTAGAATACAGAAGATCTGTATATACCGATCTCTAGATAAAGACGTCTTTAAAGGCATTGTACTCGATTCCACAACCTTAATAACTTTCCCTCTTTAGTTACAATGACAGAAATATTCGTTCAGGCAGAGGCAATACGCACAAAAACATTCTCATAGGGTAAACGTGCTATCGAACGTTATGACCCCTCCGCACTCATCAAAATCCTCCAAAATAAGCGTAAACATTTTAAACTGAAAAGAGGAAACATTTATTAATGACGATCGAGCAGACGGGGATCCTAAACTTGTTATGGAGCTATTTAGCGAACACTTTTGTCTTTCATTAACCGATAAAAAATCACTAAATGAATCGAAACCAATTTCGGTACCTTCCTGTGAAATTACTAATGTAGACTTCAATTAACAGAATAT